TCAGCCACTGGGTCATGAGGAGGGAAAGTGTCTCTGACTCTTATAAAAGAATGTACTCATTGGGGCACCTGGGTGGCTCAGTCCGTCAAGTGTCAGACTCTTGGTTTCAGTTCAGGTCACAAACTCAGGGTCAGGGAATCAAGCCCCCATGTGGCCACCTCTATACTCACTAGGGAGTCTGCTAGAAATTCTCTCTCCCTTTCCATCTCCCTCTATCCCTCCTCCTGCTCGTGTGTCTTCTCTCTAAAATAAATAAATAAATCTTATAGGAAAAAACCCCCCAGAATATTCTTACATATAAAAAAAGAATGTAATCATTAAGTACTCTGCCAGATGTAAAGCAGTGTCTTATTTACAGACCCTCAGGATTGGATAGTTCAATGGGAATACAGGAAACAGGACTGGACTGAGAGGATTATAATGGGGCATAAATAAATTGTTCACAGGCCTATAAGATCCCTGGAAAACACAAGATTTGCATCATATTAAAATGGAGTTACTTCACCAAATATAATGCATGTTCCTTGATTAGACCCTGGTTTGAACAAATCATCTATAAAACAATTTAGGGGACAAATGGGAAACTTGAATATGGCTTAGGTATTAGAAGATATTAAAAATTATAATTAATTTTGTTAGATGCAGTAATGGTACTGTGATTTGAAAGGAAAATGCTCTTGTTTAGAGACACATATTGAAGTATAAGCAAAAATACAAAAATGTTTTTCATAGTAAAAAACAAAAACAGTGTTACTGTTTCAGTTTGGTGGTCACTACAGTAAACAAGGGAAACTAAGCATTTCCCTTAGTGACTGACCACCAAGATAGTTGTTCCCATTTATCCCTTCTATAAAAATAGGATTACCTTGGGGCTCCTGGGTGGCTCAGTCGTTAAACATCTGCCTTCGGCTCAGGTTATGATCCCAAGGTCCTGGGATCGAGCCCCGCATCAGGCTCCCTGCTCAGCCAGGAGCCTGCTTCTCCCTCTCCCACTCCCCCTGCTTGTGTTCCCTCTCTAGCTGTCTCTCTCTCTCTGTCAAATAAATAAATAAAATCTTTAAAAAAAAATTGGATTACCTTAGTGAAGAATGATGTTCCTAAACTCCTTTGGTTTTCTTCTGTTCTTTACTGCACCCACTTAACAAAGTCCCAAATCTAGAATAACTACCTTTGCCATGCCTATACCCTGAAGAATACTTCTGCAGAAAAATCACACAAGAGGTATATTCATGTAATAATTAGCATCCTCAATACTACCTTCTTAATTTCTCTAATTAGAACTTCCTCCCACATGCCGTAAAGACTATTTCAAACTACCTCCTTCAAATCTGTTACCAAACTTAACTACTCCATCTTAGTAAATGATCTTGCCTTCCAAATAGTAACAGAAACTAGAAGCATTCAAACAGTAGTTTTCTCTACTTCCTGCTATCAAATCTATAAATTAGCTGTACTCATAGTCTATTCCTTCTCTCCTTTAAAGGTCTCTTCTTCAATCAAGGGTTAATCCCCTTTGCCTGTGAAAATTTCTGTCCTTTCTCACCTTCTTAGGAGCCTTCTCTCATCAATTATCTCCTCTCCTGAACCTTCAACCTTTCTCTCTCTAATGAGTCCTTCAATATCGAAACATGATCAAGTCTCTCATACTAAAAAACAAAACAAAAAAACCCTCTGGATTCCATACTCCACTGCAGTTATGAGCCATTATGTCTATGCCCCCCTCACAGACAGTTTCAAACTAGTTTCCTATCATCTGTTCCTAGTTCCTGACATCCCAATCATTTCCTAACCAATTCAAATTGAGTTTTTTCTGCTGCCACCATTCTCTAAAAGGTACCAACGAAATCCGTATCATGTTTCCCCCCAGTGTTCTCATCTTACTCATCTTTTCAACTGATTTAACAGCATTTAACAACTGAGATCTCCAGTCTTCTTGAAATACTCTCTCCCTGTTCTTACATGATACCATATTCTTTAGATTTTCCTTTTCTTTTTTTCTTTCTCAGTCTTCTTTGCTAGTTCATACTCCTTTAGTTGATCCTTAAATATTAGCACTCCTTAAATCTCTGTCCTATCATCTCTTTTCTTCTCATTCTTTATTTTCCTTGTAAATCTCATCCTCTCCCCAAATTACCATTTATACACAAAAATTATTCCAGTCTTGAACCATTTACCCAATATTTCCACTTGGAGGTATGCCTCAGAAGCAGCTCTAACAGTTCCAAGGCTGATTTCATGCTATTTGTCATCTTCTCTTCAGCATTCTTGGTGTCAATAAAGAGCACCACCATTTATCCAGTTCTTCGTGCTCAGAGCCCAGAAACCATTCTTTCTTAGTTTTTACATCCTAATCACCAAATCTGATAGATTACCTCCTAAATGTCTATGGAATCTTTGTACTCTGCACTTCTTTACCATCCTAGTCCAAGTCACTGTAACATCTTATTTGGCCCCTGCAATAGTCTCCTAACTAAATCCACATCCACATCCACATTTGCCCCCAAATCCAAAGCACCTTAATGTTGTACAAAGGGGGGAGGGAGAGAACACAACACCTTGGATACACTGTTTAGCCACAGAATAAGGTTTACTGAGAAAAACATGGAAGCAGAGAAACAGCAGAATGCACCCATTTTCTGAGTTATCATTATCTCACAGAAAGGTATCCTTTGTCCAGAAACAGACACACGGTAGAAAGTGCTTCAGGAGAGGTACCCCTTCCCCAACCACACAGGAACACTGCGAATCCCTAGCTGACTAGTAAAGGACTTCTGGTCAGGGATATGGCCTTGACAAAAAAGAGAACATCTACAGTTTAGTCTGGGGAGGTTGCATACCAACCACCAATGACAGTCAGAGATCTTGTTTTCCCATTGACCGATCTCACCCCTCCTGAGCCAAAAAAAAGAAAGAAAACACAAAGAACCACTAGGCCATCAGGAGACCAAGGTGTTTCTCCTCTTAACTCAAGACTCTACAAGATCTGGTACCTGCCTATCTTTTTAGTCTTATATCATGCCTCTTAATTTCTATGCTTCAATCACACAGGACTTCTTTTAATTCCTTAAGGAGTTAAGTTCTTTCCCTTCTCAGGGCCTTTGCACACACATGTTCTATCTGCTTAGTTAATCCTTTTTTTTGCTAACTGATTAAACTCCTAAAAGATTCATTTTTCAAGTGTCAGTTTATTTTTTAAAGTTTTAAAAAATTTTTTATTTATTTGAGATAGCGAGAGAGCACAAGCAGGGGGAGCGCCAGGCAAAGGGAGAGGGAGAAGCAGGCTCCCTGCTAAGCAAGGAGCTGGATGCGGAACTTGATCCCAGGACCCTGGGATCATGACCTGAGCTGAAGGCAGACGTTTAACTGACTGAGCCACCCAGGTGTCCCACAGAGTATTTTTTTTAACTATTATTTTTTAAAATTTTAATTCCAGTATAGTTAACATACAGTGTTACATTAGCTTCAGGTGTACAATATAGCAATTCAACAATTCCATATATTGTTCAGTACTTAGAGTATTCTTATATAAGCAAACAAATCATTTTACACTGCTTTGTGCAATTCATTGATTAAAGTGTTGAAGGAAGTATGAAGATCCGATTTCTGACTTCAATCCACTTACTTTCATTTAGAGAAAGAAGGCACATTTACATGAAAAGAAAACTGGTAACCAGGTACTCATCTGTAAGGGAAGTAAGAATGACAAGTCTCATAACAGCTAGAGGAGGATGGGTAAAGTAGTGATCCTCAGCCTTAGCTGCACACTTAAATCACCTGGGGAGCATTTAAAAAATACAGATGCTTAGGTCCTACCTCTAGATATTCTGATTTAACTGAGTTGGTGGTGGGCTCTGGGCATTAGTATTTTTTAAAAAGCTTCCGGGTAGTTCTAGTATACAACCTGGTTGAGAACTACTGGTTTTAGGAGAAAAGGAGTAGCTGTACTGGAGAGTTAGTATTTGAAATGCTTCTTAAAAGCTAGGTGAAATGTGGGGGCGCCTGGGTGGCTCAGTCGTTACGTGTCTGCCTTCGGCTTGGGTCATGATCCCAGGGTCATAGGATCGAGCTCCGCATCGGGCTCCCTGCTCCGCGGGAAGCCTGCTTCTCCCTCTCCCACTCCCCCTGCTTGTGTTCTCTCTCTCACTGTGTCTCTCTCTGTCAAATAAATAAAATCTTAAAAAAAAAAAGCTAGGTGAAATGTGGATAGGCTAAAAGGAGTGAGATCTTTTCAAATAGGAATTAAGGAGTAAGAAATGATGGTAAAAATGCAGAAATGGTAAAGCATAAAGTGTCTACGAAGATAGAGGACTATTAATGAGTAGGCAGGCTATATGGCTGAAGCAAAGTATTGGCATAGGAGAACAGTAGGAAACACCTTGCATTTTCATCCTCTAGGCACTGAGGGAGGATAGCAGTAGTGCTACTGAGCATTTTTGCTATATTATTGACATGACCAGAGCAGTATTCTACCACAGAAGCCTCCCTATAAGTTGAGAAACTCCTCAAATAGGTAGCAGCTGTACAAATGGAAGAGATGGATGAAGAGAGAACAAAAAGGATAAATCAGTAAGATTTCTGGCAGAGCCATAAATGGCATAAGAAGAATTTAAAGTTACACCGATAACTTCAATAATAGTAAACACTATCAGAGACAAATCCTGATTCTTTCTTCTAACTTCCCCTCAAATACACACATCCATCATTAGCAATCCTAGTTCTATCTCTAAGGTTTATCTTTATTTTTTTCTTAGAAAGTAAATAATACTTTTTAATGCAGTAATCTGTGAAAAAGGAGTTGAGACTTAAAACAAAAAGCTGATTTGAAGTAACACTTAAATTGTGAATCCACTGCATCCTAAATATTTAATAATTACCTTCATAATTTGATGAATAAAGAATATTATGCTGAATTTTTTTATTTTGAAGTCAATCATAAGACATCTCTAAATCCAGCTCCTTTAATTTAGAATAACAATTAAAAAGCTATTTCTATATCATACCTTGTATTTGGTCATGGTGCTAAAATGATTATTCCGAAAGAACACACAAAGTTCTCCTTCCTGAACCGTTGAAGTTAGTTCACATAATCCATGGTATGTCAGTTGAGTGGCTGTGTTATTTAGAAACTGCTCAGCTACAAAGCCTATGGAACCAATGCATAATATTAGATGGAAGAATAATTTCAGAATTAAAAAGTTTTTCTATTTACATTGTGTTCCAAGTATGAAGAAAGGCCAACCAAAATAAGATTTTAACTACTATAACATGATGACTCCAAATTGAAGATTTTTCTTTCTAATTTTGCTATGGAAGATGTGTTTATAGACATTCTCCATCCTGAAGAAACAGTTATGTGAAATTCTTTTTAACAATAAATGTATTTACTTATACTCCACCTACTTCCAAAAAAGGATTTCAGGCGCTATCAATAAAAGATACAGACACAATAAAACTAAAACCCATTAAAATAAATAAGAAGGCAAGAGTTAGCAATTTAAAAAGTAGGTAGGGATGAAAGATGTATGTCAACAGCTACTTTCCCAATGGAAAGGTGTTTAACAACTTCAGTTGCTTTAAGATGTTAACAAAGATCCCAGATAGTTCTCAATTCACAAACTGTTCAGTTTTTGCCTTAAAAAACTAAAAGGAGGTGTGAGACCAAATAGAAAACAGTGGGATAACTGATGCCATTTTTATCCTAATGTCCTATCACATATACCACTCATTATGTAGATATATCAAGTTCAGAGACAGAAATGATCTGTTTTCAAAACACAATGAAATATAAAGACGTTTTCTAGAGTTTAATTTAAAAGATATATGTACAGTTGATACTCATTATTTGTGCACTTTCATATATTTTCGTATCTGCAAACTTGCCTAGTAACTAAAATTAAAAATCCAAAATCAATACTTGCTGTGCTTCAGGGTCAATCTTGGATCTGTACAAAGTGGCAAAAATTTTCAGTCACTCAATGCACACATTTCCCACTGAGGTCAAACAAGGCAACGTTCTGCCTTCTTGTTTCAGCTTTCTTACTATAAATAGACTTTTCACAGTCTATTAGGTATGTCTTTTTGGGTGTGTAAAATGGTCCCCAAGCATACTGCTGAAGTGCTGGGGAGTCAAAGGCTGTGATGTGCCTTACAGAGAAAACACATATTTTTGCAGATTCATTCAGACATGAGTTATAGTTGCTGTTGGCCATGAATTTAATATTAATGAATCAACAATATGCTTTAAATAAGGGGTCTCTAAACAGAAACACAAATAAAACAAGGTTATATACTGATCAGTTGATGAAAATCTTGTGACCAGAGGCTCACAGGAACCTAATCTTGTGTTTCCCCTAGGAATAGTGGTTCAGTATTCATGAATTTAATGTTCATAGCAACTTTACAGAACGTAACTACCAGGAACAATGAGAATCTGTATAAATAACTTAAAAGGCTGTATTTTTCTTCTTTCCTTCTTTTTCTTCCTTCATCCTTCTGCTCCCTTCCTTTAATAAGGAATGTCTCAGAAGCAGTGGGGGTGGGGTAGGGTAGGGTGGAATAGAATGCTCTAAAAAGTTTTATAAGTGAGCAGAGAGGTGCAGATACAGGGAGGAAAGATAAACCTACATTAAGAAACTGACACCTCAACAAGACATTGAAAAATAAACTTCGTAGGGCCAGAGGCAGCTGGATAACATAGCTTTATTCCACTCCCTCTCTATCCCTCACTCTTGGTGTCAAGCTATAGCACTTCAAGCTGCAAATGGTTGTAAAAAACTACCAATGTATCACACTATTCCAAGGAATTGGTTAAGGTTGGAGGGGAAGTGCAAAAAAGTTATACAAAAGGCCCCTGCCAAAGGAAATTTATAGCCCATTTGCAACTTCTTGGGTTTATACATTTAGTAGAGCTCCCCCCTTCAGTTATTATCATTACTTTGCTAAGTACTAAGTTACTGAGTAGACTATATACTAAAGTACCTGCTATATAACAGTTTCAGTCTTAAGCACTATATCTATGCTGAGAAGTACCACTGTTCTACATAATATCCACGTTACTAAATGCTTCCTTCAGAAAGATGTTTCTAAATACCCCTCCCACATCTCACACAATATCCTCTCTAAAAATCCCTTTCAAAAAGATACAAAAAATGAGTGGAGATAACTGAATTCACAACATAATATTTCATGTGTGTGAAATTCAAAAATGCTACACTAGAAAGGTCTTTCTCAGGTACTTCTTTCTAGAGAACAGGGTATCAGCTCAAGAGAGAATACATGACTTGCTCGAGGACATAAAACTAGTAACAGCAAAGTGAAGACTGGAACCCAGGAGAATTATTGGCATTAAGTTTAAAAATTTAGTGCTGATTACTATAAATGCAAACTGAATTGTATTTCTCCCAAGCCATAAAGCATATTCTAATTTAGACTTATAGAGAACAACGTTTCCTAATTCTTTTACCAACTCTTAAAATGACCCCTGTGGGGCGCCTGGGTGGCTCAGTTGGTTAAGTGACTGCCTTCGGCTCAGGTCATGATCCTGGAGTCCCAGGATCAAGTCCCGCATCGGGCTCCCTGCTCAGCAGGGAGTCTGCTTCTCCCTCTGACCCTCCCCCCTCTCATGTGCTCTCTCTCTCTCAAATAAATAAATAAAATCTTAAAAAAAAAAAAATGACCCCTGTGATTTTCATGGACTGTTCAAAAGCCTAATCTAGTTTCAACTTTTCATAACTAATTAAACAAATTTTGGTAAACAATTCTAAGTGTTACATAGCAGTTTACTTATTTGCATTGCTTCAAATGACAGTTTATTTGCAACATTTAGCTTAAACTTCATTTTTTTTTTTTTAATGGGTTCCACCCACCCAACGCGGGGCTTGAACTCATGACCTTGAGATCAAGACCTGAGCTGAGATCAAGAGTCGGATGCTTAACCAACTGAGCCACCCAGGTGCCCCTTAAATTTCAATTTTAATGTTATAGATACTGTTATTAATGATACTAAAGTAAGGTTAAAATTAATATAATGGTAATAATAAAATTATATTACTAAACGTAAATTTAAATTAAAAATTGTTGACATTATGTGTTTGAAAATATTTCTCTCAGAAATTCACTAAATTTATCAAATTACTTTCCTTCATTACTGAGGAGTTATTAGAGAACAGAAAGGTACTAAGTGCCTTAAAGAAACTGAAATAGAAACAGAGGCACTAAAATTAGGCAAAAAGGAACAAAAAGAGGATACAGGAAAAAAGGAAAACTTGGCTTATTTTTAAATGTTGGCTAGATTTGGCACTGCTTAAGATTTGCATTCAAATTTAAACTCAATCAGAACTTTGTCACTGTGATAGTTTTAAACAATGATTTTCTTTTTAATTTCATCTACTATCAATTTTCAAAAATCAAATACATTATATTAACATTTTTCCCCAAGAGGATGCAACAAAACAATCCCTTTTAATATGACAAATACCCAGATTTTCTCTGAAATACAAGGGCTCATATAATTTGATTCCAGGGATGTAGTAGGGACCAGAACATTCCTATTGTGCCATAAAATAAGGAAGTACTCAAGAAATGAAGACATGTTAAAAGAACATGGGATCCAGGCTGAGAGGATTCCACTGGATAAATCTGAGACAATTCTAAGCATTAAAAAGAGTCATGATAATAATGGATTATAACATACTGAATAAAAAAAAATCTATGAGTCTACATTGATAAAAAAATTTTTTAATGGGGGAGGAGAAAACACTTTTTATTTTTACAGAAAACTGCCAACTAATAAATGTAGAAGGAATAGAAATATCCTAATCACCATAGTAACGGTTGATTCAGATAAGAATCAATGAATGCCAATTGTACTGGCCAAAAGATTATTAGGGAACAGGGTATTCCCGCAGTTTCAAAGCATGATATCAGAGATTACTAATTAATTACAAAAGGCAAAGGACATCTTTACAACAAAAAAATCTGGTAGATACCACTTTAATCATATCATATTTCAACATCACCAATAATGGGATAATCAGACATCTATCTTGTGCCACCTGATTTGATGCACTGGGAAAGACAGAGTATCACCTATGTAGTATTCCCACCAAAAATATATGACCTATTCTATTCATGAGGAAACAGTCAAATGAATCTAAATTGAGGACTATTCTACAAAAAAACTGGCCTGGATTATTAAGAAAAGTCAATATCAGAAAAGACCAAAAAGAAAAAAAGAAAAGAAAGAAAAAAGATTAAGGATCTGTTCTAGATTACAGGAAGCTAAATTGATATGACAATTAAATGATTCTTGATTGGAGCCTACATTGAAAAACCTTCAAAGCTAAAAGGGGCATTATTGGGACAACTGGAAAATTGAGAATATGAACAGTATATTAGATAAAAGTATTGTATTGATGCTAAATTTCCTGAGATAATTGTATTGTGACTACATAGGAGAATTCTTGTTTTTAGGAGACAACTGTTGAAGCATTAATGGGTAAAATGCTATGATATTTGCAACTAATTCTCACATGACTTAGGAAATAGTGTGTGTGTGTGTGTGTGTGTGTGTAAACAGAGAAAGAAAGCAAAACTTCAATATGTTAATAATTGGTGAATTTAGGCAAAGTGCATAAATAATCCCGGTACTATTCCAATTTTTTTATGGATTTGAGTTTTCAAAATAAAAGAAAGAAAAAAGAAAATCAGTATCATTTAATCAGAAATAACATGAATTCAAACTATAATCTTCAGTGTTGATAGCACATGATAAAGGCTCAATAAATATTTGAATGAATGAATATTCTGGAATTATTTAAGCATTTTTTTTTTTAACTTAGGAATAACCGTTAAAGAAGAAATTATTACTGAGAAAGCATCTGGAATTAAATGACCAGTCTGGCAGCTGGTACTGTGCTATTTTTTTTCCTTACTGATTTTTGCTGCCATGCCATACCCATCATTATAACTAGATTCAAAAAAGTACTGCCATCCAAAGATATAGCAAATAATACATACTCTCTATGTACATGTAAAAGTTCTGTACTTTTACTTACAAGGTATTGCCATCAAAAGAAAAAAAATGTTATCTGAAAGAAGGTGAAAGAATATCTAATTTTATTTAGCTAAATAACATTGCTTTTTTATAAAAAAATGATAGTTAAAATATATCTTGTATTCTGCACGTTATGGAAATGAAATATTTGAATTAAAAAAATTAGTAATTATCACCTGAAATTAAAGCTTAACACTTTTTAATAAAGAAGGATTAGAAATAAACCACCTTTGGGATATTTTATTGATTCAGAAGGAAAGTTACAGTTGGGGGCTAAACAGAAAAAGAAAGCAGACTCCTTCATCTGAACACTATACCCAAGAAAATATGAGGAACAAAACAATGGGGGGGGGGGGGGGAGAGCTAAACTGCTACATTATAAGTAAAAATGTCCATTGTGGCCTTTTCTTTCCTATACCATTTCTTAGTGCCTATACAAGTAACCATTGGAACTGAATAATTATTTCAAACAGATTACACATTTATAGTTTCTTATAAACAAAAACTTTTTAATTGTACTGAATTCTACATATAATTATTCCTTGATATAAAAATCCGATATGCAGAATTCTACCATATAAAATTTATATACCAAGGAATTAATCAATTCTGGTACATATTACCCCAAAATTCTATAGCACTAAAGAGGATGATTCCTTCCTTGCTTTTATCAAGGAGTTCTTCTCAAGGTATCAATACTATATAAATTAGTTATAGTTTTTTGTTACCCTGGGGAATCAATGTTAGAGAAATAGTAACAATAGTTGTAACATCAGGTGAGAGAAAGAAGTGATGAAGGGGCTGGATTTTTGTTGTTGTTCACTTTGTTAATTAGCATACTGCCTAAGTACATTACATTGTTACATTATAGCCTAGCTTGGGGAAAATGCTGTTACCAAGTGTTCCCTATAGGTTCCTACCCTATAAGCCTGTTCACCCAAATATCCCTAATATAGCTACTATTCCATCTGTTAACAATTGCTGAATCCTATTGTTCCCTCAATTACTACTGAATAGCATATTGGAAGTTATGGAGAAAGCTGGAACCTACACATGGAAATTTTCTTTATAGTCTGTTTTTTTAGGAATATATAGTAATAAGAGTTTGGGTAAGGAATGGAAAGTTCTAGTGAATGGAATTTTGTTAATTGAAAGTATTTTTAACAGCTTTTGTTGCTCCTCTCTCCCCTAAAATTAAACTTTGTTGCCTTGGGTTGCAGTGAAAGAGCTGTCATACAAATCAGTGATCAGTATCCCTGCATGCTTATGTATTTATTACAAGTAAAAACCTAGGATAAGTGTCCACTAAAATACTCTCTTTTCTTGCTACCTGCTTCTTGAATAAACATGTTAAACTTATGGATAACTGAATAATTACTTGGGTTCTGATTAATGTAGTATGTGATTCATGTACATACCTTCTCATATGTTCTTATATACTCTTGTAGTCACTTAGTTTTATCTTTTTAAATGTGGTGATTATAATCAACTTTTATTATACCTCATGTAAAAGAACTGTGTCTGAGAGGATGATGAAGCCCATCCCCTACTTCTCACGATTTCTATCTCATTTACCCTTCAAACAGAGGACAATAGCAGCCTAAAGTTTTTGTACATATTTACAAGAAAGTGAAGTGGGTTGTAGGAAACGTATATCCAAATACTATGGCTCCTGATAGCATTCTGGTTTCAAATGTGCTTTTCCCTTCATTGACCAGAACACAGCTGAAAAAACATGAAACTGCTTCTACAATGATAAATTTAGCAATTTAATTAGTTAGGGATTAGGAAATCTGATGATCAGAGGTATACTTTCATTTAGAATGGTGCTTTAATATACTATATTGTACTGAAACATAAGGCAGAGCTCTACTAAAATAAACACTCATTGAAATGAGTACATAATACTCATTTCAATCAATTAGAGGATGAATTATAAAGTTCACTCAGTACTCCCAAATAATAATCCTTTTTTTTAAAAAAGGTAATTATCAATAACTCCTGGGTAATTGATCATATCAAAGTTAACAAGTGATTCCAAAGACTTTTAGTAGAATCCAGGCCTGATTTTAGACATCAAGTGAAAAGGGTTCTAAAAAAAACCTTTCCCTGGTATCTTTATGAATAATTACTTCTTTTAATTCCTACAAGTAGCATCACTTGGATTTTTTAGAAGTCTTATTTATGACATTTAAAAGCTACTAAATTATAACACAAGTTATTTTGCCAAGAATAAATCAGGTAATAGCAGCACTCACCCACCTTCACTAACGAGCTCACTATTGTCTGACTGCTTACAAGAGATGATCTTCTCCACTAGTTGGTTGTAGCTGCAGTTACCAACAGCTTTTACAATGTCATCAATCTAGAAAACAAACGACTGTCTCACTAATCATGATAAGATTAAAAACAATAACAAAGAAACCCATTTCACTCTTTAGGGTTTTATTCTAATAGTAAATGTAAAAATATGACTTCTGAAAAAGAAAATCAACACCCAACAGTTCCTAATTTTGTTTACAGCTCACTATAACACATTATGAAAAATATTGCTTAGCTGTATTTCAATTATGCAAAAAATAATGAAATGGGATTATTACATGCAACTTTATTTCTTAAGGTTGTAAAGATACTAGTGATTAAAATAAAAAGTAAACTATTTCAGGAGGAAAAATAAGAACATTTCAGTTTTTTTTCTAAAAAACAAATATTTTGCATTTAAAGCAAGGCAAATCTAAAGATAATTTATGGGATTAACAAAGTTCTCCCATTTTATTTATTATTTAGTTCTCAGCAAAGTATAGTGGAGATGCAAGTAGACGTAACTATGTCATTTTCCTGAAAAAAAAGTTAATATATATTAATCAGGGATAGTATTTGCCTCACGAGTCTTATTTAATCTTTGTCTTTGGCAGTAGAGTAGAAAAGTAAATGCAAAGTTTTAAGCTGAAGGAAAATGAAACTGGGCATCTCTACTCTCCTTCCATTACACTTTGCTTTGACTACTGAAGAAAAAATAGGTTTCTGGTGTCTAAACAACTTGTTTTGATTGCTATCCCAACTGTAAAATATATTTACTTATAAACTATTTACATGTACTACTGTATTGACATATACATAATTAAACAAATATAAATTAATACATAGATATAACATAAGAGGGCCAATGTTTTCTTTCCACATCCAAATGATCTTCTTGAATACTTACACTTTGAATACCACAAGTCTTCACATATATCTGTTCAAATAATACTCTGGACAATGGTTCTCAAACTAGGGAGCTTGTTAAAAAGATCTAAAAGAATTCCAGGCTCAAATTGCTTCTCAGCTGTCTAAATTTTCATTCCACTGCTGCACTGCAAAGTTTAAGAAAAACTGCTCTAGGCTATAATTTCTTTGTTCCTGCAAAATTCTAGGATGGGAAAAACCTCTGAACCATTGTGGGACCGACTGTTGAGAAGAGCAGTTAATTGAAAAAAGTCAAAGCAGGGAGTTGTGAAAAAATGTTATATACACATCTTGAACATTTCATGTTAAAATACACAAATGTATTCACTTGTCAATCTTTTGATGTAGAGCCAATAAGGCTTTTTCTTTGAAAGCAGAATCTTACAATTCTATGTAAACAACACAGAAGAGTATGACTTCCAGTTTTGATTTAAAGTGAAAACTTAGACCCTTAAGAAGCAATTTGAGGGCACAGTTCCTTTAGATTTTCATTATTTTTCTTAACACTTTTACTGTTTACAGCAATTTTCCTTAGTGACTTAACTTCACTAACTCTTTCCAAAGGATATGAATTTTCAATCCTAAGGAATCCACAAAATACAAATAAAAGATAAATATACAAAAATCAATTGTACTTCCATAGACCAGCAATAAACAATATAAAGATTTCAATACAGAGATTTCATAGGCCAAATCTCTACATTAGCATTTCATTCAATTAATTCATTTGGGAGCCTTTTATGCACAGCTGTGTACCAGGTGCTGTTAGAGAAACTGCAGACTCAGCAGTGAACAAAAGAGATGGTCTATGCTTTCATATAGTTTACATTCTAGAGTAAAGACAAACAACAAACCAAATAAGCAAATATATTATATGCTAGGTAGTTATATGTAGTGGTGTACAGCTGTTCTTTGTTCATTTTCATTGTATTCCACAGTATGGATATACCATAATTTTTTTTCATGGCTAAGTTGCTTGCAGTTTTGGGCTATGACAAATAATACTGCCATGAATATGCTTATACATTTATCCTATTCTACACATAAAGAGTTTCTCTAGGAAATATGTTTTGTCTAATTGCTAAGTCTTAACGTATGCTTATCCTCAACTTTGCTATAGAACTCCAAACTGCTTTCCAAAACAGAAAGCCAATTTATTTTCTCATCAGTGGGAAATGAGAATTCTCTACATTGCATATCTTCTCCAACATTTAGTACTGTCAGACTTTTAAATATTAATTGTTCTATGTTCTAATGGGTGTATAATAGTAGTATCTTATTTTGGTTTTTATTTGCATTTCCCTGATGACTAGTTCTTATGTTCACTAGTTGTTTGGATAACCATTTTTATAAAGTGCTTGTTCAAGTCATTTGCTCGTTTTTTTAAAAACTGGGTTGCCTATCTTAAAAAAAAATATATATATATATATGTATTTGTAGGAGCTCTTTATTCATTATATAAGTTGTAATCCTCTCAGGGGCTTGCTTTTACATTTTCTTCAGCATTTCTTTAAATAAATACAAGTTCTCAATTTTAATGTAGTCATGTTTACCAAAGTTCTTCACGGTTAATGTATTTGTTTAGAAATCCTTTCCTATCACTAAGGTCAGAAACACACTGTCAAACTTCGGCAGTTTTAGCTTTTACAGTTAAATATCAATGCATATGGAACAAATTTTATGCTGTGAGTTGGAGGAAATAATTTCATTCTTTTCCAATTGACTATCTAATTAGAAATCCAAATTGGCTATCTAACTGGCTATCTAATTAAATATGTAATGGCTACCTAACTGCCTTAGCACCTTTAATTATAAGGACTGCCTTTCCCATTGCTCTACAGTGCCTTCTGTCTATATATGCATGGTCTTTTTGGCTTCTCTATTCTGTCATTGGTCCAAATCTTAATTACAATATTTAAAGTATTTCCTGTCTGGAAGAGCAAGTCCTCCCTGCTTGTTCTGCTTCAAGTATATCATGGCTTCTATTCCCAGCCCTTTGCATTTCCACATAAATTATAGAATCCACTTGTCTCATTCCAAAACTACTCCCCATAAATCTGTTGGGATTTTGTTTGGGGTCATACTGAAACTATAATTTACTTTAGAGAGAATGGACATTTGTATAAATTGTCTTAAAATCTAAAATCTAAGAATAGAGACCTACATTTACATAGGTCTCTAATTTCTCTCAAATTTAAAATTGTGCACACAGAGATCTTGCACATCTTTTTGTCAGCTTTATTCTTAGGAACTTACGCTATGTAAATGACATATTTTTAAAATTTCATTTTCTGTCACTTTATTTATTTATTTAAAAGACTTTATTTTTAAGTAATCTCTATACCCAGTGTGGGGCTCAAACTCGCAACTCCGAGATCAAGAGTCGCATACTCTACCGACTGAGCCAGCCAGGCGCCCCTTCTGTTTGTCATTTTAAAATTCTTTTTGAAGGGGGCGCCTGGGTGGCCCAGTCGTTAAGCATCTGCCTTCAGTTTGGGTCATAATCCCGGAGTCTTGGGATCGAGCCCCACATAGGGCTCGCTGCTCAGAAGGAAGCCTGCTTCTCCCTCTCCCACTTCCCCTGCTTGTGTTCCCTCTCTCACTGTCTCTGTCAAAAAAAAAAAAAAAAAAATCTTTTTGAAGAATATTTGAAGAATTTTGAAGATTTTAGCTTTGTTGATCTTACTTTCTGATTTTTAATACTTTCTGATCTTTTTTTTAAAACACTTTCTGCTCTTAAAATGGATATATAGTTTATTAGCTTTCAATCTTTTCTTATTCATTACTATATGAATTTAGGGCTTTAAAAATCCCTCTAAAAGCTGTTTTAGCTAATCTCACAAGTTTTGATATGGATTTAGTTATTGTGCAGGTTAAAATATACTCTGACTTTCATTATCCAAATTTTTGGCCCAAACTATTTCTATTGTTTTTCTACTGATTTCTAGCTTAACTGCACTGTGGTCAGAGGATATTCTATACTCTATGTGATTTAAATCCTTAGAAATTTGCTGAAACTTGCTGTATAGCCCTGTCGTAGGTCAGTTTTTATAAATTTCATGAATGTATAGTCAGGTTCAAGAAAAAAAACAGGAGAAAATGTCATGGACAGGAGACTAGGAAGATATGATGATTAAATGCAATGTATTATTCTAGATTAGATCATGGAACAACAACAACAAAAATTAGTAGAAAAATTGGTGAAGTGTGTGAGAACTGAAATCATAAAAATACTAGAGGGGAATACAGGCAATAACTTCTTTGATATCAGCTGCAGCAACTTCTTTCTAGATATGTCTCTGAGGCAAGGGAAACAAAAGCAAAAACAAACTACTGGAACTACATCAAAATAAAAGGCTTCTTTTTTTTTTTTTTTTTAAAGATTTTATTTATTTATTTGACAGAGAGAGAAATAGCGAGAGCAGGAACACAAGCAGGGGGAATGGGAGAGGGAGAAGCAGGCTTCTTGCCAAGCAGGGAGCCCAATGTGGGACTCGATCCCAGGACCCTGGGATCATGACCTGAGCCGAAGGCAGACGCTTAATGACTGAGCCACCCAGGCGCCCAAAATAAAAGGCTTCTGCAGAGCAAAGGAAACAACCAACAAAACTAAAAAGCAACCTATGGAATGGGAGAAGATATTTGCAAATGACAAATCCAATACAGGGTTAGTATCCAAAATATAAAGAACTTATAAAACTTATAAACACCCAACAAAACCAAATAATCCAATTAAAAAATGGGCAGAAGACATGAACAGACATTTTTCCAAAGAAGACATATAGCTAACAGACACATGAAAAGATACTCAACATCACTCATTATCAGGGAAATACAAATCAAAAGTACAATGAGATATCACCTCACACCTGTCAGAATGGCTAAAATCAACACAAAAAATAATAGGTGTTGGTGAGGATGTAGAGAAAGGGGAATCTTCTTGCACTGTTGATGGGAATGCAAACTGGTGCAGGTGCTCTGGAAAACAGTATGGAGGTTCCTGAAAAAGTTAAAAATATAACTATCCTACAACCCAGCAATTGCACTACTAGGTATTTACTCAAAGAATACAAAAATACTAATTCAAAGGGATACATGCACCCCAATGTTTATAGCAGCATTATCTACAACAGCCAA